CTAGTTATATTCTGAATCCTGTAGTGTTTTCTGTTGATCAGAAGTCGCCGAAGAAGACTCTTTTTCCTTGAAATAGAAATGGTTTTGTATTCTTTAACCGTTTTATGTATTTTTTAACCTCTTTTCTTCTTTTTACGTTCCTTATGTGTTATCCATTTCAAGCTAGTCATCCTTCGATATGCAATGCAAGTTAGAAGGAGGTAAACGAATTAAAGGAAATATGTCGATTTTGACACTTGAAATATTGCGTTTGTTTGCTATGCCGATATTGTTTGTTCAGGTCAAGTAAAGTTTTTAGTCAGCATCAACTTTACGATTTGTCATGGCTTAACCAGTTACAACTGGTTCTAGTAGCTCACCTCGATTACTGTGTGTGTTTGTAAACTAAATCAGGTGGTTAAGTTCCCTATCGCCGTCTATGGCTCCTGACACCCTTCAGGCCCCTTCTGTTGGTTGTTAGAGGTTTGGGCAAAGATACCCTCTTCTTACTTGTGGTCCAAGTTATTGGAAACTCTACACCTCCTTTCTCTTAGATAATGAATTCGTAAGTAGAATTTCGGACGACAATCAGAAGTGTCAGTGAAAAATAAGCAGACGACACTAGCGTCAATCCCACTTTAAAATGGATGACCTTTATATAACGTTTGCGAATGACTTCTCAACGTTTGCAAACTGACTTTTACACGTTTGCGAACTGATTAGAAACGTTTGCGAAACTGCCGTTAGCGAAACAACTCGTTGGCGAAACGACCGATTACCGTCAAAGGGAAGAAGTCGATTCATAAATCTCTATTAAATTGAGATCCTCGGCGCATCAAGTTCCCACTAATGTCACAAATTGCGAACAAACATAAAAATCGCATTTCTTGTATCGACACATCAATACCCAAATCCCCAGCTACATGAATCATTCTTCCACTCTGGCTTCATCGTTATTGGAACCCATTAGTGTCATTAATTAATGTTTTTAATAACTCTTATGATAGTAACACGTACCCTTTGCAAATGTTCTCTCGTCGATATTGACAGTTTTATAATCTTTAAAAACAATTGTATATCAAAGCCGCAGAACTTGAATTAGGGGAACTTCAAAGCTACGTAGATCAGCTTTGACCGAACTTTTTCGATCAAATCAAGATAAATCACTCAAACTGACAGCTTACAAAACATTGACAGTTTTATAATCTTTAAAAACAATTGTACATCAAAGCCGCAGAACTCGAATTAAGGGAATTTTAAACCTACGTAGATCAGCTTTGAGCGAAATTTTTTTTCGATCAAATCACAATAAATCACTCAAACTGACAGCTTATAAACCAGGGACAGTTTTATAATCTTTAAAAACAATTGTGCATCAAAGCCGCAGAACTCGAATTAAAGGAACTTCAAACCTACGTAGATCAGCTTTGACCGAAAATTTTTTCTGTAAACCATGATATCCATGTCTCTCCGTACGTAACAGAAGGTCGGCTACGTAAGCTACGCCAACTTGTTGCTTCCTACAAAATATGGTAAATATAACGTTAATAATACAATAATAATAATAATAATAATAATAATAATAATAATAATAATAATAACAGATATTTAAAAAAAAGATAAAGGAAAAAAAGAAAGTACTTGTCAATATCTTGTTTGTACTTAACCGAATATAATTTATGTGCTCTTCTTTTACCCAAACAACAGAAAGCAAAACATACGAAATCAAACCACAAGTACAAAGATTACAGACAAACTGCTTTGCACGTGATACGACACAGACAGCTTAGCCTTGGTGTCAGATTACTACATACCGTACGTAGGATGTTTAGCATTTTATACTGAAGCGACCCACGTCCTCTGTTTGTCTTCAGAGTATAGTTCGTCGGCTTCTTAGCGGATAAAAACTGAAATTCATACGTGAGGAAGGTTGAAGAGGACGAAGTCTCAGTGATTTAAGGTAAGGTATGCTCGACTTCCGTCAGTTTCGTGCCCAAGAAAGGCGATAGAATAGTCAATGGCGTCTCTTCCATTTTGTCTCGTGGCTTTGGTTGCTTCACTCATCTTTAAAGATAATTACTTTGTGGTCTAGCAGTTATTCCCATCAAGAAATCATAGATTTTATTGTCATAGAAGAATTTACAAGCGAGTGAGGAATCGTTTTAATGTCAAACATGATCCACTTATGTAATTAACACTTTCAATTTGAAATCGCTAAGGAAATATGTACGCAGTTTATTTGAAACTTTTCGCAAGGCTTATTCAGCGAGAAGGCACAATTGTATTTTGAGGTGCGGTGTGATCGGATTGATAACAAATAAACTGTTAATGAAAGAGAAATAACCTGAGGTAACTTTAAGCTGAAGTGTTGCTGTACTCGAATATAATTAAAACGACAGATGATAGCGTGGCAAAGTCGCTTTCCATATGGAGATGATATAATTTTTCAATTATTTCCCTTTGCAATTAAGTTACGAACTACTTTGTAGTAAACGGCCATAAAGTAGCTGTTAAATGTAATGTTAAGTTAAAGCTTCTTCGCCTCGTATGTACAGGATGGTGTTCTTCGTTCCTAAAAGGCCTGTGCGTGTTAGAAATGTAAGACTTATCAGTCTGGATGTAAATAATGAGAATTTTTGTGTCTGATTTGAGGAATTCAGTTTTGGACATGATTTACTTCACAAATTCAAATTTCTTCCAATAAGCATTTTATGTTGGGTGTGTTTCAGCAAAGAGAAGGCAACCTAAAATATATTTGCATTTCTGATGAACTTACCTTTTGAATAAAAACGGACTTTAAAGATATTGTTAGTTTCTTTAGCTGTTAGTCATTTTTTTCAAACCACTTTTGCAAATTGAACATTTTAATCTCTTCTTCTCTCTAAATCTGAAAAGGTAATAAACTCGTATTTTTTCAGTTGTGTTATTTTTCTGAGAGAATCTGGAGCATTGTAAAGTAGAAAATTTAAAAAAAAACATTGGCCAAAGCAATTTTACAACTTCCAAGGATGTAAAAAAGTGTGACCAAGGCAACATTTGAGCTCACTTTAAAAAAATAATAGTGAATTGTTCTCACTTTGGTCAGATAATGGCTGGTAACGTGGGTACAATTGTGCAAAATTGTTAATCCCCTTTTAAGGCCTTACCGTTGGAGTTGACCACTTGAAATCATGATAATATTAATTTATTAATCCTTTCACAAGACCTCACAAGTAATCCTCATTACTGTCTCCTATTCAGTTCTTATGATGTTGGTTCAGAGAATTTGGTATTGGATCAACAAATAACCCTCTAATTGATATTTATCTCTATTCTTATCATTTGTCAGCTTGATATTTTATTGATATTGTAAGGAGAAATTCTGTCTTGATCACTCATGGGAGCTTAAGGGTTAAATGATGAAACTTATTTATTGGCTACATAATGGAAATCAAATATAGATCTTTCATGAGCACTATTAGAAGTGTGAATATAGGTTCAATGGTTTTTATGCTTTTACTGGCTGTATTACAAAGCTGCTGTTGAATGCTGTCTGAGCAAAATGAATGTGAAATTATGTATGTATTGGGACTGATAATGTATGAACTGCAGCAAAGAAACTGAGAGATGAAAATGCACTTGAGAACCTAATACAATGATCAAAGAAGCCAGCTCTCAGCATGAGTCATAGCTTTGTAGATCTGTTTTATAGGGGAACACACTGATAATTGCAAGGATGTGAAGGGAACCTCTTAATACTTCTTTAATAATGATGTGTTGTATAGAGTTTATATGGGCTTTTGAAACTGAGAGCATCCAGAATAGTGAGGCTTTTCCCTTCTTTGGTTAGGTTGTAGTGTCTAAAATGCAACAGGAATCAAACTGACATAGTTTGATGCTACTCTGGTTTGCAGATTTAATGAATGTAACCGAAGAAGTTACAATTCATAGACCCAACATTTTGACACTCCTGTCTAGTGCCTTCATTAGGGGTGATCTAAACACTGCAACAAGAGGTCCTTTATATGATCACTAATTAGTGGCCTTTTTTTTCTGATGAGGTGTAAATAGGTGTCAGGAAGCAAACCGCCATTGTCACGATTTAAAGGAGCTTGGGCGGAGTTAATATGCCAAGCCTCCAAACAAAGGCACTGGTGGTAACACCGATTAGTGGTGATAATTTTAGAATTATCCCACTCAATTGTATGGTTGGTTAGGCATGTATGCTCCGATAAAGCTGAATTTTCCTTTTTGCAAAGAAAAACCACTTTTTGGTGCTCTTTTAACCGTGTACCAAACTGACATATGGTCTGTCTGATGTATTCGTTGTCACAGTCATTGCAAGGAATAGAATAAGTGGCTACACCACCCTTTTGAGGTGGTTAAATGTGTTTTAGATGTGGGTTTAAACTAGTCCTTGACTAATTTAAACATTTATGAAAATTTACCATGTGGTGGCATGTACGTTTTTTCAAAATTTTGAAAAATTGCTTAAGGTAAAAGGTAAGGTAAGGTATTCTTGACTCTTGACTTTGTCTCTGGGATTATGCCCTTCACCTTCAGCAAGTAATTGTTAAATAATTATATGCTCTCTGTTTTAGGATCATGTTTCCATGGAGTCATTACTAACTCCCTTGAAACCAGGAGAAGTACTACTGACTTCACCTTATTCTGAAGCTTTGAATGATTTGATCAACTATGACTCAGAACTTACCAATACTCCCACTTTTCCATCTTCAAGCCCCAGTCAAGGGACCACTCATTTGGATATTAGCCACAAGTTACCAACTAAGCTCTCTAAAAACCCAAGTACTTATGAAAAAGAACTTCGCACACTGGTTTTGAATCTGTATTCAGATAAGAAGAGAACCACTGAGGTACCCATGCCATCAGTCGAGATGCCAACTTCAGCACAGGACTCTGTGGTGCAGGGACCAAATACTAAAGGGGCTCCATGTAGGGTACCTCAGAAAGTGAATGTCCCTCAGCCCCTTGATATGATACATTTGACAATGCCTCAACAAGACTCTTTAGAATCTAGGTCACTTGGATATTGTTCTCCAGATACTGGTGTGAGTGAATTCCAAGAGAATGGCACACAGAATCTTCAAGAGCTCCAGGGTTATTTGGTCAACTTTCAGAGAAGCAAGAAAGGTACAGTTGATTAGGTTCAAATTAAGTTTTGTTGAAGTTCTTGATAATGAAGGTCTTCAGCCGATGTTAATGGAATGCTGTAGTTACTTGGTCCGAAAGTGTGTTTGGGAGCAGTAGAATCATTTAACTTGAACTCTGATGCTGACTTCAACTTTTGTTGTCACAACATCTGTTATTGTCACCTAGAATAGTTCTTTTCGGGACTTCCCTCATCTGAACCATCAAACTACAAAAGTGACTGTTACTTGGGATATTGAATCATTAACTACGCTAAGAGCTAAATGAGACAAGACTTTCTTTCATACTAAAATTACCAATGCTGTCTACTTGAATGTAACTTACTTGATTTGGCATTTGCTTGTGAACTGGACACAGTATCTGTCTTTGTAAGTACCCGTGTTTCGTCGTGTCTTTCAACAGATGTATTTCAAATCAAATGGTACTTAAACACAAGTTATGATTTACATAGTACCTGACACTCTCAAACAGAACAGAGAAAAATATATCAGGTTATTTTTTATTTTATGTTCACTTACAAATATTGCTGGACTTTTATTGATCTTCAGCAAAAAATAAAAACAGTTGTAGTTGTTAACATTGTTCGAAATTTGAGAAGCCGTTCACTTTCAATTTAAATTGCTACAAACCTTGTAGCCCTAAAATTTCCATAACTGAGCACTAATTTTCTTGCACCACAGAATTTTCATTCCGCCATAACCTCTCCTTAGATGAAATGAATTCACCATGTGACGATTCTGGGGTACATCTCGAATTTGCTGCGCCCTCCGAGACTGATGTCTCCGAAATAGATGGTGTTACTGATGGCAGAAACGGATTAGCTGTGGATAGTGGCAAGTTTTCGGACATCATGATAGAGAGGCGAGGTCTATCTTCATCTGTTAAGGAGGAAGGTGTTGAATGCAAAGGAAGTGCTTTTCTTGTTCCAGGTATCGAATTTAACTCCTCTGGGAAGCCTTGGCGTGAATCTGTCACAATGGGTCTGAAGTCTGAAGAGATCATTTTCAGTGGCGTTGACTTACCGAGAGGTGGCTCAGACCACGACGAGAGTGCGTACCTTGAAATTACTGGTGATGAGGTAAAAGAGAAGTCATTGGTTGGAAAAGATTATGACGAATTTGTTCTTCAACGTGCTGGTTTGGAAGGAAAGCTGCAGTCTTTACAAGATGAATTGGCTCATGTTCTAGAGGACAGGAAGTCACTGCAGGTTAGATTGCAAGCGGTAGAAACACAACTGCGAGAGGAGGTGCTCAAAGCGCGGGATACTAACCCAGCTGCTGTGTCCCTAGTTGAGGAGCTGAAACGAAATAAGTACGAGTTGGAAAATCAGCTTGTCAAACTGCAGAACGCGTATGAAGAAAAACATGGCGGTCTAAATGAGGCGCTGGAGCAGTTGAAGAGATCCTGTGTTACCATTCAAAATCTTAAGCAGAAGCTGTCTTTAGTAGAGGGCGAAATCAGTCAGCGGGAAGAAATGGTGGGTTCATTACAAATTGAAATGGAAAACCTAAAAAAACTGCTCGAAAAAGCCAAAGAGAGGAATGATAAATTCAAGAAAGAGAATATGGATTTGAATGCACAGATAGCAAGACTTATGGATGCCAAGGAATGGCTTCAAAAACAGTTGGGTTTCGCTCAAGAAGCCCGCACAAAGTTACAGCTTGAAGTCAGTGAATCTGAAACGACAGTTGCTGTTAAAAACCAACTTATAGAGCAGCTGAGATGCGAAGGCGCGAAATCAAGTCGGGAACTCACTGAACTGCAACAGAGTTCACTCCTGGAGAAAGCGCAGATTCTGAAGCACATGGAGAAAGTAGAAGAGGACATTACTCGACAAAACTTCGCCATAAGGGAAGCAGAAATTGAAAAACAGAAAATGCATAACGTTTTGGGAGCAAAAGTTGATTCGCTTGTGAATGAAAACAAGAAACTCCACGAGTTGATGAGCTCCGCTGTAGAGATCGAGAAGGAACTTGATGCAGCGAAACAAGATTTAATTTCAAAACAAGCTTTACTTGAAACTATAATAAAAGAAAAAGAGGAAATCAGGGAACAACTGAAGCTTGCACGTGATTCCACCGAGGAGTACAAGCGAAATCTTTACGAGTTGGAGTCAAAGTTCACTGAAACTAAACAAGAACTAAAACTCGCTCAAGACAATATTGGGGAAAAAGAAAGCCTCATTGAAAAGCTGCAGGAAGAAATAAAAATTTTAAAAGAAAATCTAGAAGTTGCCAATAAAGAACGAGAAGCTTGTGACAATGCTATTCACACACTGAAGTTGGATCTCGAGAAGGTTGATCGCCGCTTCAAACTGATGAAAAGAGAACTCACGTCCAAAACCAGTCAGCTGGAAGAAACAACACGACAGAAAGATGTGTTCATGGGTGACCTGTGCACACTGAGGGAGGGTTTGGAAAATCAGGTTACTGTGGCTTGTACGTTGAAAGAAGAGTTGGCGCAGAAAGACGAGCTCGTTCAGCAATTTCAAAAAGTAAAAGACGCCTTGGAAAAAGAGATCGTTAGTTTGACGCAGAAGTTAGAATGTTCGCTAGAAGAGATTGCTCAAGTGGACAAGGAGAGGACGGAGATCCAGAAACAACTTGAGATGGCAATAAGGTAAATAGTGGTATTCCAGAATGGAATATTTAAGACTGAAAATAACTTCCCCGCTGACGCCAGTCAAGTTGTCTGGTCAAAACCTATTTTTGCTTGGTCACAACCCAGTTTTGGCCGGAGAAATAGTGTAAGTCTGATTTTAGGTACAAGTGCCTCATTTTAAAGACTAGAGTCCAATTTTAGATACTAGTGTCCGATTTCAAACACACGTGTCTCATTTTAGACACTAGTGTTTATTGTTAGACATTAGATTCCGATTATAGACTTTAGTGCCCACTTTTAGACACCAGAGTCCGATTTTAGACGCTAGTGTTAGATTTCGATGTACGTTGCTACGTGAAATGCTTGGGATGGTCGTGGACCTACCGAACTGAATTTATGGCACTTTTCATAAGTAAAAATTTAAAAGATTATCCCCCAATCTTCATGATAAGAAGTCTTTGTATCTGCGTAGAGGATGTTAACGATACAGGGAGCACTGTTGTGAACCGCACATGGATTTCCCCCCGCCGTCAGGGAATCACCTAAGAGAAAATTTGAAAACCGTACGGGCAATTTTGAATACCCATTTTTGTGGATACACATGCGGTCTTGATGTCTTTTGTTGTTCATATTCCCTTTATTCCTTTACCTTTAAACAGAGACAGTGTGCTTTTGGAAGAAAAGTTCCACAATTCCCTGCTGGAACGAGCCAGATTAGAAGGCGAACTGGAAACGACACGTCAGTCAGACCAGCTTGAGAGAGATGCCCTGAAAAGTCAGAATGCGTCGCTCAGAGACGAAATCAAGACACAGAAAACACAGCTCCAGGCAGAAGTTACGAGAGAGCATGATAAAGTAATAAATCTTGAACAAGAGCTTCAATACCTGACTGATGAGATTATTAAAAAAGAAGGTAAACATAACAAAGACTTACAGGCCTTTGCAGAAAAATTACAAGAAATGAAAAACAACAAGGAAATGGCTGAACAAGAACTGAAAAAGCTTCATGATAAAACTGAAGAAAGTGTAGACAAGCTGAAAAAAAGTTACGAAGCAAAATTGGAAAAAGTCAAAAGCGATCTTGCGACTCTCCAACAGGAAAAAACTAAAATGGCTCAAGAATTTGAATTATCTCAGAAGAAAGTTACGAGTGAGCTTGGGATCAAAGACAGAGATCTGAGACAGATGGGAAAAGAACTTTCAGTTTTGAAGAAGACGCTTAAAGAAAAGAACACAGAGCTAGAGAGAACGCAATTTTGCGCGATAGAACTTGAACGAGAAAAGGGTCGCCTGGCTGGAGTTTTAGCAAGTCAGAAGACCTTGCGAGAACACGTCGTTAAAATTGAAGGTGAAATAGCTGCTCGGGAATCAGCCTTGCTTGAAGCGGCTAACGAGCTAGACAGAGTGAAAATGGACAGAGATTTACAAATAAGGATGGCAAATGACAAGATACAAAACCTGGAGGTTCAGTTGAAAACCATGAGAGAAGAAAAGAACAACCTGCAAGACACTTTCAGAAAAGAAAGACAGGAAAATATTGCTTTGAAAAGTGAGGTCGAGGAAAGTTCAAATGGCATTGCAGAGTTGATGAAGAAGCTGAGCGTGGCTGAAGCGGAAATTAAACGGCTGCAAGGGAAGCTTGACAATGAAAGCAGTGAGGCGAAGAGATATCGATCTGAACTGGAGGGGTTAAAGGAAAGCTTTGCAGAAGAACAAACTGAACGTGAAAGTTTGCAAAAGAGATTGGAAGCTTTGTTGGAACAAGAGAAGGCTAAGGATAGGATAGCAGAGAGCTTAGAATGGGAAGTCACTCGGCGAACTAGAGAGGTGGACTACCTTAAGGAGCAGGTACGAGTCATGGAGGAAAGGCAACAGTTGGAGATGGAGAACTTGAAAACTGCCCTGCAAGTATCTAGAAGCGAAACAACATCGCTGTGTTCTGAGTTATCAGAGTTGAGGAAAGTCAAATGTACCTACCAAACGAAAACATTTGAATTGAAAGATTCTCTTCTCTCCGTGAGACGAGCCACAGAGTCGCTAAAACAGCAATTATTCTTGAAGCGCCAGGAGTTGGAATCCTTGGTAAAAGATGTTTTGGCCTCTAGGAACCTTCCACAACTGCAAGAGGATATTACAAAGAAAAGGGAAACCATGTTTGGTAATGAGAAAACGCAAGAGGAGTTAGATGTAGCTAGTTATACGTCTGCTGCCGTTAACATTAGGTAAACAATTGATTTGCTCTAAAATGAATCCACGATTTGTTCAGTGTTTGTTTCGATTTTGGTTTTGTTTTTCCTTCAGCTTTGCTTGTTTATAGCTAGATCTATTTTCTTTGGTTTTTACCAAGAGTTGTTCGACCGAAAAAGTAAAGGGAATTTCAATGAAAACTTCGTTGAGACTCGTCATCTTGTTTTTCAGGCCGATTTCAAGTCTCCAAGAATGCATGTCTTCACTGAGGTAGGTAAACAGAGCTTCATACCTAAACATTTCAATCGTGATTACATGAGGAAATTGGCTCAGCTTGACAAAAGTATTCGTGATGAATTATCTAAGAAACACGGCGAAACCAACAAGAGAACGAGCCTGAAACAGGCAATAAGAGTTGTTTAAGAAACACTTCATATTATGAGATAACTGACCTATTTTCTGACTTACATCTATATTTTCCAACGCTTTGCATTTCGCAGGTCACAAATCAGTAACCTACAGAAACAAATGAACGATCACACAGACTCTGTGCAAACGGCCACCACGACTTGGAGGTAAACTTTGCTTGGGTTTTGCTTGTTCTTGGCTAAGTGCAACAAATTGCCTCCTCTTAAGGGGAGGTCTTTCTTTGTCTCCTTCTATTTATTTTCCCTTGCTGTTTTTATGGGTATAGACAAGCTTCCTTTACTTAAGTTATGAGCAATTTTCTTTGAGTGTCAAAAATAATCCATGATTGTCTTTTACCTTTGACGGAAGTCTCAGTTATCTAATGTCCTATTTAAGATGTTCGTCTCAATTTTCTTAATACTTATCAAAAGGGCCTTTGATGTTTATTTTACTTTTACCTAAACCACAAACGGGATTGAGAATGAATACGAGCTTCATACGTCCACATAACTGACAATCTAGAACGACACAAGTATTTCAATGTTGTGTGGAATAATGCACAAATCATTTTTGCGTAGACTTCAACGTTTTACTCTGGTTAATTTCGCATCAAAACTTAAAAAGCCTCTCTATTGTGTTCAGGAAGTGCAAACACAGGTCGAATTCGTTTCACCGCTTGATCGAAGTTTTAATAAAAATTGTCGGTTGAATTAACTCACTCACTGACTGACATAAACAAGATGGCAAACAGCAGTCGCTTACATGAAATGTTACATTGTATCATGCAAGTGGCGAGTCCGAAAGATAAGAAGGTCATTTTAAAAAAGTATTGACGTAAAATCAAATAAATTAGAAAATTGAACATGATAACAGCGACAAAAACAGCAAAGAAGTGATTGAAAGAAGAAACACGATCGCCTTCCATATGGCTTCCTGTGATAAGCAGAACTGTAGCACCAGTCTGAGTTAATTGTGACCAACATAATGAAGTTAGGTCTTTGAGAAAAATGTCTGCATTTTTACAGTAAGAGGAGTTAACTTACCGTTCAAGGACTTGTTTTGATACAATATTTTTAAGATGGCTCGTAACGCCCTTTCACTGACAAACCCGTGCAACAATGTTATCGACGTCGTCGACGACAGCTTCTAATTTCCCGCTAAAAAATTTGGCTGCTTTACACATGCGCATTGTTCATACGCACAACACGAACTTATCCTCGAGCCCAGAGCCTCCGTTTCTTTTGGAGGATATCGCAGAATATTTAAGATCTAAGTTTGTTGTGTTCTCCACAAATATTAAGCAACGGTCAGCAGTTTGTGGTTAGAAGTTAGAGGTTTCGAGAATTTTAGCTTATTAGATCAACGTCGGCTTTCGCCTGAAAAATAAATCGACATGTTCGCCGCCATCTTGAATTATACAAAAGATGAAGGTCCTTCTTTTCAAACACAAAATGTGGTTAAGAGATTGGTTTTCTAGCGTCCCAAACGGATTGGTTACTATGAAAAGACTTCAAACTCCCTTTCAAACTCTAACTGTTCATCTTCAATTTTTTTTTCAGGTCGTTCAAGGAAAATGTGCATCAACTGCAAGCAAGTTGCAATACACAAAGCAGCCAACAGCTGACAGCCGAGAAGGACACTTAAGCACTCTTTCGACAAATTTCTGACTCCTATTAATCGGTAGTGAATTAAATAACAGAAAAAAAAATAATAATCTAAAGAGCGCTCTCCAAGGCACCCTTTAAATAACGTGTGCAATGGATTTACAATTGTTTAAACAAGACTGAAAAAGTGTTTGAGATACATTTACGTACAGTATTCCTTGATGAAAGCTGACGGTTACTTCCTAGGCTTTTTAAGATATTATCTTACTATTTGTTGATGAAATTTCACCAAACAGACCTGAGTGTAAAGAAAGCATTAAAGCAAGTTGAACGGTTAGGAGGTGTTTGAGAGAAAAACAACTCCATTTGCTATCAGATAAACAATGAAAAGGCATTATTTTATTTCATTGTGTAATATTAATTTTCATATTTGATCTTTGTAAAATAAATATCATGGAATTATTTTTTTTTTGTCTCGTTAGTCTACAATTAAATAGCAGATAAACTTTAATAAATAAAAATGAATTTCAATACATTATGTCAGTATTTCAATTATTGATGGCTTTCAGGATAAAGTGCAAAGTTAAAAGTGCTGGGACGAGCTTAGTTGCAAGTAGTTTAGATCATTAAAAAATGTTTGCGTCACGCGTGGGTACCAGGCTACTTCAAAGTCTAACGATCACCAGAACAACTTTGTTTCCAGGGTCACTCTTCTCACGGCCCCCTTCTTTCCGCTCCAAGTCTAGGGTGCGGAAAGAAGAGAGATCTTGGGATGGAGGTTGTTGTTTAATTTTTGTTTCAGAAGAAAAACAAACATGTTCTATATTGTGGGCAAACTTTATGATGAAAAAGTTAGAAGCTTCACACTTTCAATTCTAGCTCGAGTAACTAGTGTTCATTCCCTTTTTCCTCTCTTAAATCACACCTCTTAGACAGTCCTTAATTAAGCCTATCCACAGCGGGTTGTGGTATATTTGCCGCATTACGACTTTCAAAACGAAGAAGGGTGTCCAGTAACTCATCCCCAGTCCTTGTGCCGCCTTGTTCGAGGGTTATGTTGAGATATCGCTGGCGCAGCAAGTGAGCAGCGGCCTTGGGTTGCCTTTGACGTGTAAGAATTCCTTTCTTGTTGCCCCCGACACGGGTTGTACCTTATGGGGAATGAGAATTGATGCAATTGAGAAAAAAATTTTAGGATGACCAGTCGAGGGCGTAGCTGTGATGCGTGTGGCCCCTCTCCTCCCTCTTTGACGAGTATCACTGACATTATGTATCAATGAACAACCTGGCATGCTCCCTAATGCTTCTTTAAAAACCCGAGTGTAATATGCCCCCCTTAATTCTCACCCCTTTGAGTGGAATATCCTGTCTACATCCCTTATTACAAACTCAGCGACTCAGTTTCCTTTGGCGACTCTGAAGGGGAGAAGTAAGGGGATTCGCACGAGCCCCCAATTACGAAAATAACCAATTTAAAAAAAAAATGCAAAAACTAATAAATACTTTAAATGGTAACTTTTTTTTAAATAGAGTCAAATGGAGTCACCGACCGTGAGAATTGCGAGTACAATCTACAATGAAAATCATATTTTAGCTGGAAAATGCACGAGAGAAAGATTTAGATAAAGATTTTAACACCATAATTCACGCCGTCTTAGCCTCAAGAATGTCCCAAATTGCATTTCCAAGGACTTAAACTCCTTCCCTCCCCCCCTTCCCACGCAACTAGCAACCATCTTTTGCGATTGTTAGGACACTCTTTTCACAGATTCTGGATCGGCCCCAGGTTTCAACTCACCTTGTTGCGTCATGAAGTCTGCGAAATTCCAGATCATTTCACCAATGAAAAATTCTTTCCTAAGTTCATCAAACACCGGAAAGTACTGCAAGAGTGACTCTACCTGTGCAGTTGATATGATACCAAAAAGGTTTAGCTAAAACCTTACTAGTAAGAGAGTACGCATTTCAGCTTAGCTGTTCCCGTTACCAAAAAAATATCCACCAAAACCAAATTAGGAACAATTCTTGACTGTATTAGTTTCCAAATAAGCTTTACAATCGTATACAGGAGACCATCCAAAATTGAACGAGCGAACACAACCAAAAAAGACAAACCAATGTGTTCACATCCGGGTTTTTTACACTTAATCATTTCATCTAAGCGCCACTAAAATGTCTCATTTGAAAATTGAATAAACAGTGTCACGTCCATTTCCGGCTGTAACATTAACCCTTTAACTCCTGTGGATGACTGGCTTCTTATTTCCTCTTACAGTATCACCCCTGAACGAAACATGAAGGTCATGAGAGTAAAGGAGATGATCCTAAACTGAGGAAGCTCTTGTTTGTTGAACAAATTCTCGTACTGATTTTAGGGTGTAAAAATAAATCAGTGATTCCCTTCGCAGCATTAAACATGGGAAGACAAAAAAAACTGTGATCTTGCATCTTTTGGTCTTTTCTTTGAGTTCGCCAATCCAGCCACATTTTGCCAATTATAACGCAATTCAATACCTTATTGAACAAAGGTTTAACCTCACGACCAGTTTCAAGCACTGATTTAGTTCAAAATTGGGCTATTTTTAAGAAACGAATTAATGTACCTAAGATGAAAGGAGAACGACTCTCCCGTTTTCGTTGATTAAATCAGCCATTAAGAGCATTTTAATCAAGCGCTGGCGTCAGGGCTCGCGACTTTTTTCAAACTTTAGAACTTACTTGATATTCCTCCGAAAACATCGTAGGGGGTTCCTGCAAAAAAGGAAAGAATCGTGATATTAATAACAACAATAATAATGATGATAATAATAATCATAATAAACATTTTACACAGAAGCGGTCTTTTATGAATGTTAGAAGGTACATAAAGACTGATCTGCGGAAAAATTATTCTTGTCACGGACCTGGGAATAGACATGAGCGCACCGCAGTCAGTTGCACGGAATCTGAAACGACTCAAAATCTAAGGAATGAGTTTTCAATCTCCACGTAGGCTACCTGAACCTACGCAATCAAAACACGAAGAACATGATGAATTTTCTTGAGCTCGCACCCTTGCTTAGTTAAGTCAGATACAGAAGCTCGTACTTCCGCCTACGAGCCATTCTCAAAATCCAAATAGTCTCCGTTTCAAGTCGAGGGTATTTGCTAAGCTGTCGATGTAAAAACGATTTCTTTTTCTCGTATAAATTAAACTTCTTTTCGCAAGAAAGGTTATACACCATGCCTCATTTTGAAGACAAGGGTTTTTGGAACATGGAAGTGGCCTGTCGTCGAGAGTCCGACGAAGGTACCAATTAATGTTATTTGCAGTTTGTTGAGTAAGTGTAAAACTTGCCTAAAGAAAAAAACATAAACAACAGCCACAAATGATAACCAAGAAGAAAATCCAGACCATACGTCCCATGCGATCAACGCAGGGAAATCTGTCACTAAGTATATAAAATTCCAATCAGAATTTACACAGATAGAGCGCTTTTTGATAGACTGTGGTAAGACCAAAACAAAAGTAATTAAAGCGGTCAATTAGAAGATAGGAATTTCTTTCTCGTCATGATAGATTTAAATACAACCAAGCACACTTCCTGAGGCGCGGGAAAACGCGAGCTACCAAGTCGTGACTAATTTTAGATTTGTATTTGATTGGTTGAAAGGTTGGTGCAAATTTTCTTTACCAATCAAACATTCAGCGATGTAAAACCAGAGAAACTATGGGCACGTACCACGTGCATACCGGCCACAGTGTCAGCTCCATATTCAGCCTGTACAACCGGTTTTGAGTGAGTATCAAACCAGTCCCTCAGCTCTCGCTCTAACTGTTTAGAAATAAGTTGGGTCTGGCCATAGTCGTGGTACCAGGCATAATAACGATTACAGAATATCACATCACAGAACTGCACCTGCAAAAGATGGAAGAGATACGAACTAAGATACTGCAAAACGCAATGGTGGTTCGATCCCGGAGAGGGACACTACACAGAAATGGGCTATTGGAGATGTGCCGCTGAAAGGGGTTGCATTTTCCCGACTGGATTGACTATAACGGGGTTAAATTTCCAATAGAGTTACTACAATCGGGTCGCACTTTTTTCAGGATTTTGGGATTTAGGAAATTCTGGAACGTTTATAAATATTTACCTATTTATATTTGCAAATGTACCAGAATGTTTGTTCTGTAGATGAGAAGTAAAGTGTTCTAGATTCAGTTTTACAAATATGCCAATTTAGGATGACCTGCTTAAAGGGCATTATAAGGTATACGCACAAACAGAAAGTGACAAAGTTGAGATCGCAAAAAATGATATTTGTCTAAAAGTGATTAAGATGGTGTCGGGGGCCTGATTACTCAGTCAACCATGTACGAGTGAGCTCGGGCTCTAATAAAGTGAGCCCAAAGGAATAACATAACTTTTACCGAAAGCATCTGTTACTCACAACTTTATCATTCCAGGCTTTGAACATTGTTACAAATGTCACAGGTCGCGTTGGGTCCAGTCGGCGTGTATCATCAAATAGGGTCCTAAGAAGAACACACAAGGCATAACAAAGGTAAATCTAAAATTTGCAATGATTTCATCTTACATTGAGTTGGTCGACGTTTGGAGTCTTTGCGGGGCTGTTAACTGTTGGTACAAGTGTATTGGAAAGGCAGTTTGCTAATGGTCAGGGTATGGCTCTCCGTACCCTCTTGTGTTTTTGGAGAATTAAGTCTCAGCGAAAAGAATGTGACAGAGTAATTTAGTATTATCGACTGAATTGATAACGTAAATTGGCCACTGTGAAGAGCTAAAAAGCTGACATTTCGAGCGTTAGCCCTTCGTAAGGGCGAATATGAATCTACAGTGATCTTACATAATTTCCTATGGAAGTAGAAATGCTCTTAACACGAAATAAAATTAAGATTAAGGAGTCTCCTTACGGTTAATTGATTGTCGAAAACGTAGGCTGAGCTTTTAAAGTTTGTTTGCGAACTTTTCAAATAAGTGTCTGAAATCCCAAACTAAAGTAATAGAGATCGTTTCATGGCAAAATACGGTAGTTCCGATTATTTTAATCAGATATATTGCTTTTCGATAGGGTGGTAAAAGAACAAAACAAAAGCAATCAAGACGGTCAATCTCCGAACAAAGGAAATCTCTGAAAGAGCCAATGAGAGCTCACATTAAAAAAATGCACCCTCCGTGAAACGCGGGAAAACGCATTTGGCATTTGATTGGTTGAAATTTCAGTAAAGTAAGACCAATGCAGGTGCTCAAGCCAATCATCTCAGCCAATCAGAATGCAAGATAATACAGCGGGCCAATGAGGACATCAATTGAAATCGAGTAATCTGAGCAAGGCGCGGAAAAGCGCGTGTGGACAAGTCAGACTGGTTTCGGTTTTGAATATGATTGGTTGAGAGGATGGCTCAAGAGTTCTGGTCCAATCACAGAGTGGGGTAAAGAAAAATTAATGCAGTTTCGAATTACTTCCGAAACTTGATAAAAAATTGCTCTATTTCGGATCCGCCATTGTGGTTTGTTCTCACTTGAAGTATGGCACCGACTTGGGCTTGTCACTGCATGGTTCATTAGCTACAGACCACATAACGACTGCTGGTCTGTTCTTATCGCGGCGAATCAACTCTTCCATGACTTCTCTGTGATGTTCCAAGGATTCTTTACCGAGGTTATTACTGACAAAAAAAAAGAAAAAAAAAGAAAAAAAAAAAAGAGCAGGCTAATTTGGACTTCAAACTGTCTCTATGTCCTGAAAGAATATCCAATGGAGATAATACAATCATTATGTCACAGGAGAATCTTGCGATCATTCATCCATCAAAAAAAAATAAGAAATTTTACTCCTGATTTATCACATTGCTACATTGTTACAACCGCCTGACTAGATTGGTCAATTCCTACGTGATATGTTTCATCCGTGAAGAATTTGTCAAAAACATTGAGGATATTGGGACACTGAGCATACGTTCCTTGGAGAAGAATAAAGTGATGACTCTAAAGAACGGCAGAAATCATTTTAAAATTTATTGCCCAGGCGGCTGATTGCTAACTAACAGTTAGCACTCTATTTTAGCCCAAAAGCACTTACACTCTAATTCCCACTCCAGGGCACTCATCCACCACAACAATTCCTTGCTGATCAGCCATATCCATGATCTCTTCAGCGTAGGGATAGTGACTTGTCCTGAAGCTGTTAGCACCTAGCCATTTCAGAAGATTGAAGTCTTTGGCTATCATTACATAATCCAGACCCTTACCACGAATCTTTGAAGAAAAAAAAAGTGGCTATTATTAGGACTGAACCTTGCAAGCATTGTGGTCCATTAGTGACTGGGAGTGTGTCATATCAACTTTTAAAATAATTTTTATAGGGAATAGGGGTATGACTAACCATCCCTGATAAGAATCCTGTTACTAGCTCCAAGTCAGGGGAGGTGAGCAAAAACGTGACCATGTGAAGAATGGCTTTTGCAAAAAAAGCAAGCATTTGCTTAATTGCTAACACGACCACTGCTTGCTTCACATTTTTCATGTGCCGGTTTTTTTGCAAGTTTGCAATACCTGAGAACCTAATACAAGCCACCATACTGGAAAGCTTGTCCTACACCTTTTTACCGCCACCCCCTGCCCCCGGCATTTTTTCAGGTTTACCTGACAGTTTGTTGGTACAAATGTATACTCCTGGGTGGAGAATTGGTACAGTGAGAGCAAAGAATCTTTCCCAAATTAAAACGCAATGGCCACTGAGCCATTAAGACTCAAATATAGACCTTTTGCAACAGAGTTCAAGTTCAATTTTTCAAAGAGTCCCATTTTGGCAACCTCCAATTGTAAGTTGTTCACCATAAAAAAATTTTTGGTCGCCCCTTGCCCTCTCTCTTTTTTTCAAATCTGTTGGTCACCAATTGGTGACTTTTGTCAAAAGTTTAGTCACTAATTGGTGACTTTTGTCAAAAGTTTAGTCACTAATTGGTGACTTTTGTTAAAAGTTTAGTCACCAATTGGTGACTTTTGTCAAAAGTTTAGTCACTAATTGGTGACTTTTGTCAAAAGTTTAGTCACCAAATATATTTTTTACATGCCATGGCAACCAAAATGGTTATAACTTGGAGCACTGACACTGATCATTGGGTTGCTGAGAATCACAAATCAAATTTTGTCATTATTATAATAGTAATTAAATATCTACAATACATATTTATCCTTACATCAGCATCTTCATGTTTTCCAAATCCTTTAAAGTAAAATGGCTTGTTGTTTATAAGAAGATTGGTTCCTTCAACTTTGACAGTCCTTATACCCACAGGGAGGTAATACACATCTTCTAGAGTAAACAATGCAGACCGAACAATCACCTGCAGAATACCACATAAGTTAAAACAGGAAAAAAATTAGAAACAGGAAGTAGGATTTATTGGATATCCAAGGCAAAAGTAGTAAATCAAGTGATCCCTAATCTTCCTAACCTAGGATTATCTACTTTGATCCCACAAAAAGGAAAATAAATGTTTGCTTCTAAAAATTCGTTTTTTTTTATTGCAAGGGAAAAGATATTTTACTACCCAACAGTTTAGGCTACGGGAGAGTCATAAACAAGTCTTTAGATGGCCAAAACAAAGAAAACCCTATAGATTTTTATTAACAATTTATTTCAACTCTTTGGTGTTATGTTGTAGCCATATAAAAAATCCAGCTTGTCAGTCAATATTGCAGGATTCTGGCTGCATTACTTTTCTTCTTCATCAACCTTGCCCTGGTGGTTCAAATGTTGGAAAATGCTATCTACTGGATAAATCTCCATCCAATGGATGGCATAGCATGTTTTGCTATCACTTATCCACTGGATAGCAATTTATCTGCTGTTACATAACATTATCTGCCCTTTATACAACTGGGCCCTAATTAACTTTATCTCTGTTCATGAACACACACATGAAAGCATCTTTGCTGACCTTGAGCCACCTTGACATAAAAAATGGTCACTAATATATATTAATTCATAAATAAAAATTTATGGCAACAACCTTTAGTGAGTACAAATATGCAGGCTTATCACTCATTCCAATTGGCCACCATAGCATTGGATTCTTGACAGACAAAGTTTCTTCAAACATATCAGGACCTCCAGCTGAGGCAACAACAAATCCAGATTTATCATACAGAAGATATTCCACCGTGATATCACCTTTTGGAAGCATGGCAATAGTATTGATTGACGACACAGTTGTAAGAACTTTGACCTCACCAACATTGTCTGAGAAATTTGTTGTCACAGTGATATCAGAGAGATAAACAACAGGTGTGGTGTATAATTTAACTGGACGATGAATACCAGCATAGTTGAAGAAATCAAAAGTATATTTCTGAACAAAAAATCCAGGTGGATACCTGAGAAAAAATAACAAATCAAAGAATAAGTCTGAAGAAAAACTTTTTTCATGGTTCAAACCAAGAATACTCAGTTAACCCTTTAACTCCCAAGATCTGATTGTTAGTTCTTCTTTCCTGCTTTTACACAATTCTTGGCAAATAAGTTTGGGGAATTTGGTACTAGATCAAGATAACAACTTCTACCTGATAAGTTTGGGCATTCTCATTTGCCCTTTGCTGGATAAAGTATGGATATTATAGGGAGAAGTTTCATGTTAATCACTTCTGGGAGTTAAAGGGTTAAGGCAATACGCTGTTGTTTATAATATACGTGACTTTGAAATCTCCCTGCCCACTGCCACATATTCACAATTACATCAGGTGTTATATCAAAACAATAACATATCATTGCTTAACTGCAACTACAATGTCATAATGTATCTCCCCAAAATATATTAGTGATGTAGAGAGACATTACATTTTGATCAGTACTGGATTCAAAAGTTTAGTAAGGTTTTTAAGTTTCAAATAATTGTTGAAACAGAAGGATGTTGAATTGAAGGCTTTACAGTTATAAAATTCTATCATGTAATTAATATTACATTTCTATGCTACAGTCAAAGTTTAGTGTCCACTGGTTCTAAAGCAAAACCCTTTATCATAAGAACAGGTGCTCTCACAAGTGTGTAGTAGAAACTAGACAGAGCAGTTGAATAAGTACTCACCAGTCCCCCTTAGTGAGATATTGGATCTCCCCTGGGGGGAGTGTTGTGGGTGTAAGTGTGTTATTGACAGCAACAGTGATCCTGTTTGGTTTTTCAAAGGTAAGCAGAGGTGTGACATCCACTTCAAAAGGAAGATGTCCTCCTGCATGTCTCATAACTTCTTTTCCATTCAACCACTAAAATGAAAATTAAACATGTAAAAAGGGTATACACATCAGTTGAATGGCCCATAACCCAGGTGCTTATCCAATTTTTGGCAGCATGAAATGAACCAGATCATTATTAATTCTCCTGGATGGACTGCTAGTTCTTCATAGACAACCTCCTGTATTTCATCAGGTTAATTTCTCTGGCAGTTCACTAATATTCCTTTACACTCCTAGGAAAAGAGAGTTTCCATAAAGGCAAAGTGTCTTACATAAGATAAGATAAGAATCTTACTTGACAGAAAGCAATCTTACCACAATGGTGTTGTAGTTTGCACTGTCAAATCTAAGGACAACTCTAGTGGTATTGGTTTCCCACGACCTTGGGACATAAACCTCTTTTTCATACCAAACCCAGCCAATGAAGTCCCTCAATTTCCTGTCTTCAGTGATATCATTGTAACTTGATGGAACAGGCATTGGAATTACACTCCCAGACTACAACAACAAGAAATCATAAACAAGAAAAAAAAACATCAAAGAATTTTACATCAGAGAAAAAAGCTCTGATCAGGGCTCTGCTCTATCAGAATCCAGATGTCACAGGTGAATTTCTCTTATTTTCTTGGGACTAATTGCATATGTAACTTTACTTTTAGGAAAGTTATTGAGAGTTGTACACCCTTGATTTCTCAAACCAAAGCCTTTAGACACTGAGTGATAAACTTCTTCTACTATATACTCAGGTAAAAGAGCAAGGCTTTAAGACATATTGCAAAAAAATGTATGAAGGCTAGAAAACAGATGGAAAAAGGCAAAAAATGGGGCTGAGCTGGTTAAATTTATCACTCCCACAACTCTATCATTGCTTCTCCCCAAAAACCTTAAAATGTGATCCATACATACTACCAGATAGTATGTTGGTTAATGATCAGTCAACTACTACATATAGGTGCAATCCATCAGCTATTTATCTAGTTGCATAGGTCAGTCAATATTGTAAGGGTGACTGTACTATTAAATTGTTTACTATCCAACTAATAAAACTGACAAGAAAATGTAATTTATGTCAGACAGGACTTGAAAAACACAAAAATGTTTTCCTTATTTGATTGATTAAGATTTTTTCATTTTTTTTTTACATTTTGTTTGTATATTTGCTGATTATCAACCAGGAAAAAAAATATACTTGCAAGCAAAAGCTGGGTGCAACTTCCAAGGCAATCATCTCAAAATAGAAAAATATTACCAGCATTTTGATTGGATGAGCTATTTGAAAGAAATATGAGAACATAATGCACACATAAGATAACAATATTTAAGCTGGAATAGAGAGCAATTTTGGACTGCATGACACAAGAGACCTGTTAGAAAGTGTTAATTCAATTGTCCAATCAAAGTAATCAGTAGTGCATGTGGAAATCATTTTAACAAGAAATTAATTATTTAAATGTTGAAAGGAATTATATTTCTCAAAGGCCATGTTTTCTTGTGTTTAAGTTAAATTCTTTCAAGTGTCAAGTTGAATTCTTTCAAATTTCTAACAATATGTAACATTTAATTCCTAAGTTCAAAACCATTTAAATTTAATTAATTTAATTCTCCTGTGTTTCCAGATGGAAAACGTTTTACACCCGTTTGTCTTAAATGTTTAGTTATTTGCCTACAGGTAAACTGAAATGTGTATCTAAGATGGAAATCGATGATAAGGAATAGGAAAAGAAGACACTCAACTGAACACAAAGGCCAATTTGTGAATTTATTGAAAAGCGCAAATGATTGTAGAAGCTGAAATCAGAAGAGGATTCCCTGGCAGTTCTTCCTGTTGTGCGAGGCAATTTCCGCTTACACGATTTGAGATTTTTCTCGGAGGCTTTATGATTTAACGAAAGTACATAAAGGCGTATCCTGATATTTGTAACTGTCTTAAGAACAGAATTTAATCATCGTAATATTTAGTTAAACTTACCTGCCATAATGGTTTGGCAAACCACATACCCTCAAACCCACTATTTCTGTTGTCTGACATATCGGCGCGAAAATCCCAGATTCCGCTCAAATCTTTGACCTCTCGGCGTTCCGAGTCTTTAGGGAATAACATGCCAGGTAAAGCGGCTGTTGTAAAAAAGATATTCACACCAACTACGATGAAAACGGAGTGTAAAAACGAAGTCTGCACCGGCGCCATGTCTTTTCCGTGCAAACCCTCAAACAACCTGTTGCTTGCACCAGCTTCCTCTCCATTCTCTGTTTAACTAATCTTCTGGGGGTGGGGAAGGGGCAGACTTTTCTTGAAGAGTTGTTCTTTGGAGACACCAGCATGATTACCGAAAACTTAATGATTTTGGGTAAGGTAATGATTTCGTGACGTTTTGTATTGCATGACACATAGTGCTTAAAATGTAAATTAAGGAAGTCGTTGGTCTCGTGACTTCCTGTTATGTTTTCCATCGGGTTTATATTCGCACTTCTGCAACGAAATATGGCGCCGAATGTGATGGTCTTTCATTTTGCCTCGACAGTGGTATTTTTGGGCAGTTACCTTTGTCTTGGGGAAACTTTGAATGCCAAGTTACCAGGCATGTTATTTCCCAGAGAATCCGAGAGTCGTGAAGTGAAGGATTTATGTGGATTTTGGAACTTCCGGGCAGATATGTCTGCCAACAGGATGGCCGGATTCGAACAGAGTTGGTTTGCCAAACCTTTATGGCAGGTAAGAAGTTGACTCCACCATTTAAACTGCATCCAGTCGTATTCAGTCGCAAAAGATGTTCATGGCAAGGGATTCTGTTCATTTACTAAGCTCTTCGTCCATGTGCGTCAGAAGCCTGTAAGAAAAAAAGCACAGTCTACTCTATTGAGAGTGAAAATCATGGCGAGCGGAGTCTTTCTCTTTCTTTACATTATCGGTAATTAGTAGCGTTCTTTGCCAATTGAACTTTGGGGAAAAATCTCATTTAACCGAACATCATGTAATCCTTTTGCAAGTAATTGCATCGCGACTTGAAATTTTCAAGGAAACATAGAAAATAATTAAAGTCAACCCTGGAACAAATCCAATGCATAGCCTAAGGGGCGGGGTCTAAGGGTGCTTGTACTTCCCCTCAAGGTATGGGACGGGGGAACTCCTCGAAATCGTTGGTTATGATGTGCCACTTGGTTCTCCTCTTCCTTGAAACAGAAATAGTAACGATGGGTATACCACCCTGCCCCACAAAAAATAAACAAAACTAAGTATGAAAAAAACCTCACTCAGCTTGCATTAGCTTTTAAGTTACTCTAAGTTGCAATGTGGTTTATGGCATGCAGTAACAATGGTTAGAGAGCTTGCTATCAACTCCTTAATTGTGTATTTCACAGACAGGTAATGTTATTCCTATGCCTGTACCATCAAGCTATAATGACATAACACAAGACAGAGCCTTGAGGGACTTTGTTGGTTGGGTGTGGTATGACAGGGAAGTTTATGCTCCAAAAATATGGAAGTCAGAGGAAATCAGGGTTGTGCTCCGCTTTGAAAGTGCGCATTACAACACCTTGGTGGTAAGTGTTATTGTTTCTCAATATCCTTGTTAACACTAGATTTTAAAACCAAGTGTAGTTAAGGATCAGAAAGAGCTCTGGTTCTTTGCAGGTATCTCTTAATATCATACCCCTAGATGAGTAGAGACATGTGTTATACCTTAGTTTTTGAGAGTGGAAGATGTAATTGCCTATTATAGGGTATAATTCAACCAACAGAAAGAACACTGCAAATTTACAAACTCAGACAAGTACTTAATTGAACGACCTGTAATATTCTTAATAAGGAGTGATTCATAAAGGCGGTACAATATTTTATCCTCAATGAACTTACTTAAGCCCACTACAGTCTATGTCTTAGCTTACCATTGACCCAAACTCACAGTTGTCTCCAAAGTTCCTTGAAATGAACAGTCTTTTACTGACAGTAACTCTCTCTCGGTATAGCTTTCCTAACAGTCAGTCACTCCCGTCAACAGCAACTACTTCTACACTACAGAGTACTTATAAACATTTACAAAGTATTCCAGAATGTTCCAGAAGCTTATAACACAACTATCTTAGTAGTATTACATCATAAATACATGACCTAATAGAATGTTCGAGAAAAGTCCTAATGTATGCAAGTCAGCATGATTAAGCATACTAGAAATTTATAGATATTTATCTTACAGTTTTTATAATCCATAACACCGAACAATTACTGTATTGGGTACTGGGTTGAAAGGCCTGGGTTCATGACCTGGCAGTGTAATTGTTTTGTGTTCCTGGCCAAGACACTTTACTCTCACAGTGCTTTTCTCCATCCTGGAATATTAAAATGGGTACCACAAAACTGTTTATGGAAAACTGGAAATTTGACAAAATATCAAGGGCTAACTTACAATAGACATCCCACTAAGGGTTAGTAGCAATACTCCTTGTCACTGGTGGTGTTAGACTCCAGCTGGTTAAGCCACTTGGCCTAAGTAAGACTTAACCATTCCTTTTAATTCATAACATTATGATCATAACAAATCTGATGTGGACTCTAACCAGAACCAGTCTACTAGATTCTCATCCCCACCACCACAGAGGAAACTTAAACCCAAACTCCTTGACTGACTTTTCTTGCTTAAAGCATGAGTGATTCTAATCTGTTTGTAGTGGCTTAATGGTAAGGAAGTGATGGCTCATTCTGGAGGCCATCTTCCCTTTGAAGCGGATGTCACATCATTGTTGTCTTTTGGAGCAGTTAACAGGATAACTGCAGCAGTGAACAACACACTGACTCCTTCTACTCTTCCACCCGGAGAAATACAATACAAGACTGGTGATAGGTAAGATTAAACAAATCAAAAGGAGTCATCAATCAATTTGGCAATTCTCTGGACAAGTATATTATTTTGCTGAAGCAAAAAATTCTTTTATTGCCCATCTTTTTCTGGTCATAAGGACTGGATATTGATGTTACACATATTTTTTTGTTCAAAACAAGCAAAAAGGGACAAGGCAAAAACTATTTAACCATCTTGGGCTGACTATCAGGCTTTCCAAGGCTAGCCCTCCTGACTTCTTGATCAATAATGTATAATTATATATTTTATATAACTTCAGGTATCCTCCAGGATATTTTGTTCAAGAAACTACCTTTGACTTTTTCAACTATGCTGGTATCCACCGTCCTGTAAAACTCTACACAACTCCTGTTGTTCACTTGTCAGACATCACTATAACAACAGACTTCTCAGAGGAGGAGGGCATGGTCAAGTTTCACACCACAACATCCTCCTTAAATGTGTCAATGAGTTATGAACTCATGGATAAGGCTGGTAATGTGGTAGCCTCAGCAGAAGGTTCAGGCCTATTTGAAGGCACTCTAATTGTGAAGAAGCCAATTCTCTGGTGGCCAATTGGAATGAGCGATCAACCAGCATATCTTTATTCACTGAAGGTAATAAAAGATTATTTGCAAGGGGATCTCATGACAGTTAACTTGATCAAAAGTCTAAAATATTCATTGAAAAAAATTATCTAGTCAGTTTATTACTTGAACTGTTGTGCTGGATAAGTTGCTTGTTGTTTCCATATTGAGCTAGTAGAAAATACTTGTTGAAAAAAATTTTGGTAGAATCCAGAGCAGTTCCATGATTTTTAATTAAAATAACAGTAACCTAAAGTCATGCATATCATTCTCTGGTATATTAACAGTTTAACTCCCAGAAGTGATGGACATGTAACTTCTCCTTATTATATCCAAACACTTTCCAGCAAGCAGTTTATGAGTGTACATTAACTAGATGGGAGAATTAAAAACCAGATCTTGGAAGTTAAAGAGTTAAGATTCAAACAAGTTGCAAAATGTTCAGACACTTCCCTATATAAGTAACCAAATCTGGGAGAAATCCCATGCCAAAACTTTATTTTTACAATAGTTTCTTTGGTTGGAAACTCTCAGAACTGACCATAGTAAACCACAAAGGCTCGGCATTTCATATGTTCACTCCACAGTGTTTCTGACTAATGGTACCTTTTACCTGTCTCTATGCAGGTCAAAACTCATTCCCATCTACTTGATATTGATGACATTTACTACCTACCAGTCGGTATTCGGACAGTTGAGGTGAAAGGAACAAAATTTCTCATCAACAACAAGTCATTTTACTTCAAAGGATTTGGCAAGCATGAAGATGCTGATGTAAGTTGTGTGATGTGGAAACGCTTTTAAAGAAACTTTCAATCAGGTTTTGAAATGAATTTAGGACTTTGGGTCGCATTGTTTAAGTTTCTTTCTTCCTAGCCTTAAAAAGTGTATTTTGTTTAAGCACATAGTACATCTAAAACCAAGAAATCACTACAAAGGATTCTAACCAAAAAAATTGAAAAGGAACCATCGGGAACTAAAACATACACACAAACAACTAGGCAACCTGCTCTGAACGCAGGAAAACGCGAGTGACCAAGCTGAGATTGATTGAATTGCCCTATATTTGATTTGTCAAGAAGGTGGAACGATACTACATCAAAAAATGCTCATTTTAGGATATACGTTGTTGTTGGATTGTATTCTTGTTATTATATTCACCATCCCTTCTTGACTTGTTAATGTTTTTTGCAGATTCGTGGTAAAGGAATGGACTATGCTATCATTGCCAAAGACTTCAACCTTATCAAGTGGTTGGGCGCCAATTGTTTCCGAACCAGTCATTACCCATACGCTGATGAAATCATGGACATGGCGGACCAACAAGGAATTGTTGTCATTGATGAAAGCCCTGGAGTGGGAATTAGAGAGTAAGTGGTGAATCAGAGGAATTTTCATTGGGTTAGTTTTAGGTGTGAATCTGATTGGTCGAGAGGGTAACGCGAGTTCTTCAGACCTATCCTAGTGCAAGGTAAAGCAACACTCACTTGCAGATTGCGCTATCACAAAACATCCATGACCAGGTCGCGATTAGTCTTAGTTCTGCGTCTGATTGCTGGACAGGATGGTGCATGTTTTCGGACCAACCAATGAGCGAAAACAATATATTGCTATTCTAGATTACTTTTAAACTGAAATTGGTGTCACTAGTCGATCGCGCTTTTTTTCATTTCTCTCACAGTCTTTTTTTTTTTAACAATTAGTTTCATATCCCAAAACTTGGAGCAAAGTTGTGTCCATTCAAATGAACCAAACAGACGAACACGAACAT